CGCGGTGCACCCCACTGGGCATCTACACAACCGAGACATATCATGTCCCATTGTGTTCCGCGGACGAAGATGACATATATGGATTAGACTCCGACGAGCACGGACAATATGTGGATTTCTTCTGTAAGGAAGAGATGTCGAAAGTAGTATCATCCGGACGACGACATAGGATGGTGGACTTCGACCGTGTTATCACGCTGCGAGTGTATGTGTCCGCTGCAGCTAGACGAGCTGCGGTCGCCAAGGAGGACGACCTCCTCACGGGGGCAGATTTTCAGGCGACTCCAGACAAGACGCCGAAAGCCCTATGTATTGAACTCGCTGCATGTTTTGACAACAAGTGTTTCAATGTACAAGACAGATCCCAGGCGTCAGACATCATGACTTCGAGATACGCATGCAAATGGAAATTCGTTAAGGATGAATAGGCGATGTGGAGCGTGCCATCGCGTTGCGCCTGGTACTTCGGGGCTTCGTGGACCTTGAAGACTTCGATGTAGAAACGTTATCAGGAACGGCGCGGCGGCGAAGCCGGTGATTGCTCGCCAGCGCGGCAGCGTGCCGGAAGCAGCGATCATTGCTTCCCTTGACATCAACATGGCCTTCTTGACGGGACTCACATATCAAGAGCTCGCTGAAGCGACCAGTGAAAGGGAACGCGCGGCGTGGTTTACCCTGCCACCTGGTTCAGCATCAGTGCTCAGATCGCTCCCAGGATTCGAGCACTATGATGAGTCAATACACTCTCTACAGTGCCTTAAACCAAGCACCGGCACCAAAGAGGCGCCAAGAGCCTTCGCACTGAAACTCAGGAAGGCCACGAGAGGCTTTGGACTCAGACCCACGTCTTACGGCGAGGTTTTCGAGACGAGCCCTAACCTTCTCACTGCCAAACATGTCGATGATATGGCCGGCGTTAAGGAAACCATTGATACATGCGTCAAGTGCGTTGAGGACACCTTTGGCAAATGTAGACTCAACATGCATATGCCAACTGCGCTGTGAGGTGTGCTAAGGACAGCGACGGCAATGTTACCCTTGACCATGAGACATAGAACAGCTCCGCCCAATCCAACACCACGAACTCACAGGCGTCGATGCTGAGGCCAAAGCATCCAACATGGTCACTGACATGCGTGTTAGCCTTGTGAGGCGCTCTGGCTCACGCCCTTATCACACAAGTATGGTAATGGCATATGTTGTATCATTACAGCGTGTCCAAGAACCGACCGACATGCAAGTGCGACGACTCCACGCGATTACCAGGAAGCACCAGGAAGTTGCAGGCCTGTCCTAAGAATATCGTTCACGATGACATCAACGGGCGAGGTAGATCTGCATCGCGATTCCGGCTACTGCCGCCTGAACGGCGATGCCGATTACGAGGTCAAAGGTTGTGGTATTCGCGGGACAAACCTGCTAAGGCGTGGATGCACGCCTGCTGGTATGCTTGTCGTCCCTTTTGTCGGTGCGCACTGCAAATCTCGCCGCTTGCAGGCCCGCTCTAGCTATTCGGCTGAAACGCCACGGGTCGCATGCCTTAGAGGACTGCTATGCCGCGATGATTACGCTACATGAACTGCGCGCAGGGCCGCTGACATCCATTCAAGTGAAGGGCATGATTGAGATGGGCGGCCTCAGCATCAAGGTCACCCTGACCATTGATGCGGAGTCTGTCTTCAAGTCCTTGTCAAGCGAAGACCTGAACAACCTCTTGGGTCACATCAGTTGGACGCGGCAAGTGATGGAGCGCGGTGTCGCGCATGGCGCGCCGCGGTGTGACGCCCGCGACATGGCTGCGGATGGTCGCGCCAAGTGGGGCACTTTACCGAGGTATGCTTTTACAAATCATGGGAGGAATGCAATCCTTCAAGCACGACTTGAAGCGACACACTCTCTGCAGGGCTTGCCAGACGAAACCATCTGAGCCGCCCGAGGAACAATAAGCTGCGGGGTGACCTGCTATGGTTGAGCCCGCTGGCTGCTGCCTTTCCTTTGTAACATCGTTGTTTTGCCGAGTTATGCATGCCGCGGACTCGGGCTTCGTCTTCTCCCCCCCCCGACTGAAGGAGGAAGGGCAAAGGCGAGAGGTATAGAGCGTTTGTCCGCGGCCGCTGGGCTCAAACGACCGGCCGCCAATTTGGCCGGGTCGCGCTGCAGCCCGCTATCTGACATCGATGCGGAAAACAATCCCTTGAGATGCCCTTTTGCCGCTCGCGCGGCCATCTCCTGCCTCTTGCTCTGTCGTTAATACGATGCAGCAGGGTTGAACGTATGCTACGCCTAAGGCTTAGTATCTGGTCGGGTCTTCCAATCCACTTTAAATTGTTCCAACCCCTCGCGGAACCCCCCGTCCAGGTCGAGGGCGCGGGTAGGGGGAGGGGTCAACTCTTCCCCGAAGGGAAGGAGGGTATCTTGTAAGAGGAAAGAAGACATCGTTAGACCACCTGCGCCCAAAAGGCTGGTGGAATTCTGCCAGAACGCCATTTCTGGGACATCAATGCCGCGAATCAACGTTATGGTTGAGTTTTGAGGATCCTAAATCGTTCCAGGACACCACTCCTGGGGCTTCAACACCGTGGATCAACGTGGCTGTTTCGCCCTGACATCCCGACACTATGCCAAAACACCACCTCTTGGACGTTAACCGTGAGAATTTTTGCGAAGTCTTAAGACGACTGTGCGCGGCGCTAGAGCGAGAGCCACATTTTGAAAAGGAGCCGCCCACCATCCGTGAAGCTCTTGCAACATTTTAAACCGAGTGTGCGCGGCGCTACGGCGAGAGCCACATCTTGAAAACGGGCTGCCCTCCATCCGCGAAGCTCTGGCTAGTTTCTAAGTTTCACGATCAGAAATGGTGGGGAAGTTTCGGGCGAAACGCCCAAACCGCCCTTTCGACGCGTCTCGGGGTGCGACGGGGAAGAGTTACTTGTTACACCAGAGAAAACGCAATCAGTGGACGATGTGAAAAATGATACTATGGATCTTGAGATCGGTTGTGAGATCCATAACGAGATAGATCGTATAATCGATCGTGAGGACGATTGTAAGGTCGATCGTGAGACCGAGAGTGAGATCGATTCAATGAGATCGATAGTGAGATCGATCGCGAGATCGCTCATGCGATCTATAGTGAGATATCTTGTGAGACTTATAGTGAGACCGATTGTGATATCCATGGTGAAATCGATCGGAGAGTTGGTATGATATCGATAGTGGGACCGATCGATAAGAAGATCGACCAGGAACCCCAGAACCCGGGAACCTCGCCGCCCTCCGAAATCGGCACGGAATTCGCAACTGGGAACCAGGGGACCCGGAACCGGGAACCCGGGAACCCAGCGTGCGACCAAAATCGGCGGGGCACTTTCGCCAAATCCTTCAACATCTGCGAGGACTCCTTCAGTGCAAGCACTGATTAGGGAATAAGGAGAAGGGATGGTGAAGAAGGATGAGGAGGACGACGAAGAGGAGGAGGAAGAAGAGGAGGAGGAAGAGGAGGACGAGGAGACCGAGCAGGAGCAGGAGGAGGAGGAAGAGAGAGTGAGGGCGCATGGTGGTTCAATTACGTTCGTTGTGCAAGCGGAAAAGAATTCAGGGAGGGTTGCCGGGGTTGGTTGGCCAGGAGTGTTTTTGAAGGTGTATGTTTCCACCCATGCGATGTCGCTGGCTTTATGGATTTTGAGAACCTCAAGTGAGTGATCGGATTCTTGATATTGTTGACGCTTCGCGTATCCCCACCAGCCCATCCAGAAACGATGCCCAGGGGAGTTGAGGTGATCAGGGAAGTCGGGGAGCATGCAGAATAACAAAGGGCGGGGGAAGCTGTCACGTACCCCAAGAGGGGGAGGATGGAGAAGGAATCCTCGTCGGAGTGGGAAGGGGGAGGAAGAGGAGGAGGAGGAGGAGGAGGAGGAGGAGGAGGAGGAGGAGAATGAGGAGGAGGATGTGGAGTAGGGAGAGGACGAGGAGGACGAGAAGGAGGAGAAGGAGCAGAGGGAGGAGAAGGAGGAGAAGAAGGAGGAGAAGGAGGAGGAGGAGGAAGAGGGGGATGAGAAATTGAAGAGGACAGCGAACCGAAGAGCCAGAAGCGTCTTAAATGCATTTCGGAGATCCTCTTGAGGCTTCTTGGGGGTCTCTTGGGAGCCTCTTGGAGGCCTCTTGGGCGCCTCTTGGGGCCGTCTGGGCGCCTCTTGGGGCGCTCTTGAGGCGCTCTTGGGGGCTGTAGGGGCGCTCTTGGGGCCATCTTGGAGGAGATCGATCAACGAAGGGGGGTTCCCTAATTACTGTAGCCTCCCCCCTCAGGAGCTCCAAACATCGCCTCTTGAGGCGCTCTTGGAGCGCTCTTGAGCGCTCTTGGGGCCGTCTTGGGGCTCTCTTGGGCCTCTTGTGGGGCCCTCTTGGGCCATCTTGGAGCCATCTTGAGGCCTTGGATGGCCATCGGAAGCGAAACGGAGAGAAAGCAAAAAAGATTGATTTTCCTAAGGTTTTGGGACGATTTTGGCCTCTTCGGGGCCTCCTTGGGGAGCTCTTTGGCCACTTGGAGCCGTCTTGGGGCCGTCTTTGGGCCTCTTGGAACATCTTGGGAGCCATCTTAAGCGATCTGGCGCTATCTTGAGCCATCTTGGAGGTTATCTTGGGCTCGCTGAGGCGCTCTTGGAGCCATCTTGGGGCCAAAAGAGCCGTCCGACCGCTCGCGAAACCCTCCGTCCAGGTCCATGGGAGGGGTTAGGGGGAGGGGTAAACCCCTCCCCAAGGGGGAAGAGGGAGGGGTGGAAGAGGATCTGTTCTAGACCACCTACGCCCAGAGGGCTGGTGGGATTTAAGAGGAGGCTGAGGAGGACATCTGACCAAGTAGGTCGCTTCCGGAAGCGCCTGGAGGCCCCATCAGGGACGATCGCGCCCAAAATTGCAGTCCTTGATCCTGAATCTTCCTCCGCCACATCCTCCCTCTCTCGTTCCCTCCCCCCTCCCTCCCTTCTGCCCTCCGCCCCTCTCAGGAGTGGGTTGTGAAGTCGCCTGTGTGCGACCCTGGCCTCCTGGTGGGGAGGCCACCGAAGAAGCTGACGCTGTGGCAGAGGGGTGGCGACCAGCCCTCGATACAGGTCTCCCTGACGGGCGAGGGCTGCTGGGGAGAGGACTACTCCTGGGAGGAGGAGGAGGAAGAGGAGGAGCAGAAGGAGGAGGAGCAGGAGGAGGAGGGGAGGAGGAGGAGCAGGAGGAGGAGGAGCAGGAGGAGGAGGAGGACGAGGGTCAGTTGTTCCCCGTTCTCGTTTTGAAGAGACAGCGCCCTGCGTTTCCCTGCTCCCGTCCCTGCCTCTGTCCATGTCGGCACACCCATCACACGTCTTGTGACCCCATAGGGGGCTTTACCGACTGCCCCCTTGGCGCAGTTCGCATGTGGGCGTCACGCCCGTGTCGGCGCACTCCTCACACGTTTCGTGGCCCCATAGGGAGCTCCACCGACTGCCTCTGTGGCGCAGTTCGCGTGTGGGCGTCACGCCAATTTCGGCGCACTGCCCACACGTTTCGTGGTCCCATGTGGAGCTCCACCGACTGCCCCCGTGGAGCAGTTTGCATGTGGGCGTCACACCCGTTTCGGCGCACCCCTCACACCCTTCGTGGCCCCATACGGAGTTCAATTCACAACTTCGTGGACCCATAGGGAGCTCTACCGAGTGCCTCTGTGGCGCAGTTCGCATGCGGTTCCCGGACAATGTCGGCACACCCCGCACACGTTTCTTGACCCCATAGGGATCTCCATCGAGTGCCTCCGTGGCGCAGTTCACATGCGGTTCCCCATGCGGTTCGGCACCCCACTCACATGCGTTTCGGCACACCGCTCACCACCCACAAGACACCAGGGAACTGCACCGAAAGCGATAGCCACAACTTCTGTACTTACAACTGCATATGGCTGGGTCCTTCGCTCGGCCTTTTTTTTGCAGAGGGGTAGGAGGAAGAAGAGGAGGAGAAGAGGGAGGAGCAGGATCAGGACCAGGAGGGCGGGGGAAGGGCGAACGGGGAGAAGGAAAGGGAGTGGCGGGAGAGAGGGGAAGGGGGGAGGGGAGAGGAGGTGGGGAGGTGTAGCGACCAGGATAATGTTACTTACCGTTTCGTTGTGTGTGTGGCTGCCTTTTTTGTTGTTGCCTCTTCGGGCCCCCTTGGCCCGTTTGGGGGCCCACTTGACTCTGCAAAAGTTTGGCGGGGACCCCCCAAAAGCGCCTGGCCGCGCCCGAGAGATCCAGAAGTCGGGGCGTGGGCCCCTTACATAAGATTCGCAGTGATCAGTTCACTCCCTCGCTCCCTTTCTTATTTCCCAGCCGTCCTGTGGTGTTGGGTCCTCGTTTTGAAGATACAGTGCCCCGCGGCTTCTCCTCTTTTCTTCCTCACCCCCTATCCCTTCCTTCATACGGCTGGGTCCTTCGCTCGGCCTTTTTTTTGCGGAGGGGTAGAAGGTGGAAGAGGAGGAGAAGAGGGAGGAGCAGGATCAGGACCAGGAGGGCGGGGGAAAGGCGAACGGGGAGAAGGAAACCGAGTGGCGGGGGAGAGGGGAAGAGGGGAGGGGAGAGGAGGTGGGGAGGCGTAGAGACTGGAGGAGAGGGGCCCGAGCGCCTCCAAGAATCTTGGGCAGCCTGGTAAGTCTCTGACTCGGGTTGAACATCCCCCCACTCTCCCTCCCTCTCCTCCTCATTCTCCTCTTCCTCCTCCCGGCCTTCTTCTCCCTCCCTCCCAGGGTCACCGGGAGGACGCCGCGTTCTTCGAAGGCTCTCGTCGAGGGCGCGGCTGATGCAAGACACCGCAGGGGCCCAAACACATCCAATGACCTTCGAGCGCCTGGCTTCTCCCTCCTCTTTCGCACGTCCTCGGCGGTACCTTGAGAGGCAGCCACAGGGGCATCAGGTCAGCTTGGCGCTGTCGTTGGGAGAGAAGCAAAAAGAACAGCTTGGTAAGTCTCCGAAAGGGTGGGTCCGCGTGGCGCAGGTGACGGCAAGTACCCAGGGATCCTGGACGCCTCCGAGAGTCTCTGGGCAGCTTCGAGAATCTCCTTTCCCACTGTGCAAATTATTTCTCTATCTGCCGACGTGTGTCATAACGGACCCCTGAACCCCCCCGAGAGGGACACCATCGTAGTATGCCCAATCAGAACATGGGAGGTGTGTACAATGAAGGAGGAGGAGAAGGAGGAGGCTGATGAGCTTGATGATGAGGATGAGGACGAGGAGGAGGAGGAGGAGGAGGAAGAGGAGGATGATGAGGAGGAGGAGGAGGAGGAGGAGGGGGAGGAGGAGGCGGAGGAGGAGGAAGAGGAGGATGATGAGGACGAGGACGAGGAGAGTGGAGGACACTGGGTAACAGCAGCAGCAGAAGCAGGAGTGGGAGGGGCGGGATGAGCAGGAGGACCAGGGGAAGGCGGAGGAGGGGAAAGGAATGGGGAGACAACGAGGAGGAAGGACTCGTATCCAGAAACGTGTCCCGCGCTGGGGCGATACCGCCATTTATACCTACGGGAGTACAGCGTCGACCCTAAAATGGAGCACGCGCTGCAGCGGGAGCGCCGATGTGGAACTACAGTTCACGGAGAGAGCGGGACACTTTCAGCGCGTAGTCGGGGGAGAGATGAGACTGGTATTCGTATTGGGTAACTAGCTGTTCTGGAGGAGAAGCGGAGGGGGGGAGGGGAAGGAGGGAAACAGGGAGAATGAAGAGCGGGCGAGAGGAGGAGGAGCAGGAGCGGAAGGAGGAGGAGGAGGCGGAGGAGGAGGAGGAAGAGGAGGAGGAGGAAGGAGGAGGAAGAGGAGGAGGAGGCGGAGGAGGAGGAGAGGAGGAGGAAAAGTGAGTGGGGTGAGGAAGAGGATGAAGAGGATGAGGAGGATCGGGAGAAACAGGACGAGCAGGACAAGGGAGAAGGAGGATGAGGAGGAGGAGATGGAGGGGAGGCGGAGCTTTACCCTCCCCAGGACGGCACCACCACCGTCAAGCAGCTCGAGAACAATAAGATCGAGGTGCTCGACCACCGCAACGACGTGGTACCGCTCCGGCTGGAGCGGAAGCCAGCCCGATACCAGAGGGTCACGGGTGCTGAACATCTAATAACAAATTGTTTGCCAGCGTGGGCCGCAGACAGCAATGCATTGCGATGTGGATGAATGAGTTTGCTGGTGCAAACAATGTGGTGTAAGTTGTGGTCAGGAACTTTGGCTTGGCGGCTTAGCGTGTCGTGCCACTTGGTTCTGGCCCATCACGCCTCGGCGCGACACTCTAACCAAGGTCTAGTCCCCAGGCGACAACGTCCCGAGCTCTTCCCTGGAGCGACACGCTATCCGCTCGCAGGGCATAGCGTGTCGCCGGGGCCGCCGCAACCACACGCTGTGCACACATTCCTGCCCGTATGTGTTGCAATCTACGTGTTGCCCGCTCTGTGATGCAAGCTATGTGGTACAACCTATGTGGTGCAAGCTAGGTGGTCCAAGTTATGTGGTGCATCCTATGTGGTGCAATATGTAGCTATGGTGCAAGCTATGACGTGTAGGCTTTGTGGTGCAAATAATGTGGTGTAAGCTAGGTGGTGCAATACACGTGGCGTAAGCTATGTTGTGTAAGCTACGAGGTGTAAATTGTGTGGTGCAATCTACGGGGTGCAAGCTGTGCGGTGTAAGAGATGTGGTGCATATTATGTGGTGCAAGCTATGTGTTCCAGGTTACGAAGTGCAGCATATGTAGTACAATCCGCGTGATGTCCACTCTGTGGTGTAAGCTGTGTGGTGTAAGCTAGGTGGTGCAAACAATCACTTGCTCAACTTGAAGCTGTCCTCTCCACTGCTCGTGCAAACATCCCACACTCCCACCCGCAACTTGGTCTCAAGACCTCTTAAGACCGTGACGGTGGGTACCAAATGGCACTCGGCAACGACACCGACGCCGACGACGACAGCGACAACGACGACGACGACGCCGCCGACAACTACGACGACACCGACGACGTCTCCAACGACTTCGGCGACGGCGACAACGACGACGACGACGACGACGACGACGACAACACCGACGACGACGACGACGCCGACGCTGACGACGACGATGACAACGCCGATGACGACGACGCCTCCGACGACGACGACGCCTCCGACGACGCCGACGACGACGACGACGGCGACGACGAAGATGACAACGACGACGACGACGTCGCCAACGAAGACGACGACGACGAGGGAGGAGGGAGGACGACAACGGCAACGACGACAACGACGAGGGATGAGGGAAGACGACGACGACGACGACGACGACGAGGAAAGACAGAGGACGATGACGGCGACGACGACGACCAGGGAGGAGGGAGGACGGCGATGATGACGACGATGACGACGTTTGAGCGCACGCGCACGCTTTTGTTGAAAATCCGTGTTGCGAGACCTTGTGTTTTTGTATGTTTTTTGGACACGATTTTGAAGTCCTTCCGACATCGAGGGTTTTTGAAGGATTTCGGCATGCGCGCGCGACGACGCGCGCTTCTGCACTTCGTCTTGTTTTTTTGCAAAGGATTCTCGCGACGGCACGCGCGCAAGGGCGGTCGAAAGATTTCGACATGCGCGCGAAGTCCATAGTTGTTTTTGTTGGGAAAGTATTGTAAAACTCAGGGTTTTCTTAGGATTTCGCAAGAGCGCGCTCGTAAGCTTTTTTAGAAAAATCAGTCTTCCGAAACCACGTGTGCTTGTATGCTTTTTAGAAACTCGATTTTGAAATCCTTCCGAAACCGAGAGTTCTTGATGGATCTCGGCATGCGCGCGCGACGACGCGCGCGTGTGCACTTCATCTGTTTTTTTTTGTTTTTGTTTTACCTAACAGCTTTTGCTGATAGGTTTCTAGTGGTGTCAAAAGAGAGCAGCAGATGACTCCACAGGGTGGTCGGGGCGGGACCCGGGGAGCTGTGTCCGAACTCGTGTCCGAATGCGTTTTTCGCAAACAGTCACACACTTCGTGCTCTTCGACCTCCCAGAACTCCATTCCCGGGCCACATTCTGAATGCTTGGAGCCAACTGTAGGCCACTTCGTGCTCTTCGACTTCCCAGAACTCCATTCCCGGGCCACATTTTGGATGCCCGGAGCCAACTGTAGGCCACTTCGTGCTCTTCGACTTCCCAGAACTCCATTCCCGGGCCACATTTTGAATGCCCGGAGCCAACTGTAGGCCACTTCGTGCTCTTCGAGTTCCCAGAACTCCATTCCCGGGCCACATTTTGAATGCCCGGAGCCAACTGTAGGCCACTTCGTGCTTCGAGTTTTCCCAGAACTCCATTCCCGGGCCACATTTTGAATGCCCGGAGCGACTTGTAGGCCACTTCGTGATCTTCGAGTCCCCAGAACTCCATTCCTGGGCATGATTTTGAATGCCCGGAGCCAACTGTAGGCCACTTCGTGATCTTCTAGTTCCAGAATTCCATTCCTGGGTTACATTTTGAATGCTGAGGCAGGCTGATGCTGCGGCCGAGGCAGGCTGAGGCTGAGGCAGGCTGAGGCTGAGGCCGAGGCTGAAGGCAGACTGAGGCTGAGGCTGAAGCAGACTGACTGAGGCTGAGGCTGAGGCAGGCTGAGGCTGAGGCAGGCTGATGCTGAGGCAGGCTGAGGCTGAGGCTGAGGCTGATGCAGGTGAGGCTGAGGCAGGCTGAGGCTGAGGCTGAGGCTGAAGGCAGACTGAGGCTGAGGCTGAAGCAGGCTAGGCTGAGGCTGAGGCAGGCTGAGGCTGAGGCAGGCTGAGGCTGAGGCTGAGGCAGGCCGAGGCTGAGGCTGTGACTGCGACTGCCGTTGCCACTGCGACTGTCATCGCGAATGCGATTACGACTGCGAGAACAACAGAATTCTACAACTGGATTCTCATGTGAATCTTAAGGGGAATGCTTCCAGATATGCTCCTACACATCGCTGTTAGGTTGCTTTGCCGTTTTTTTTTTTTTTGGGGGGGGGGGGATTCTTGAAAACTTATGATTTTCTGATAAACGAGAGCGCGCGCATAGTATTTTTTGCATAGGAGGGCGGGGGGGAGTGATACCGGTTTGGCTGGGGTAGTATGACTTCATATTTAGGATGGACATGTGTGTAGAATAAGTTTAAAATCGCAATACCCCAAGGGGGATCGTTAACTCCAGGGGGCGGGGGGTAGAGCCGGATCTTTTTTTAGAAGGGAGAACATTGTGATGCAAGCTGTGCGCCATGTACGTGGTGTGCGCTGTGTGGTGTCAGCTCTGTGGTGGAAGCTGTGCCAGGCAATATACGTTGGTGCAATACGGGTGGTGCACTCTACGTTGGGTGCACGAGGCGCCCACGAGGCGGCCACGGGCGGGCACCGTGCAAAACCTCGGCCCCCCTCCCCCCCCCCACGCGGGGCGCCCACGGGCGGGCACCGGGCGAAACCTCGGCATACTCGACCGATCCCATGAGGGGGACAAGCAAGAACCCCTAAGTGCAGATTTCTTCGGCGCCCCTCTTCAGAATGGCGACCCAAATTATGGTCGCGCCCAGCTCACTTATGTACATATATATATGTATGTATGTATATATATATACATATATACAATATATATACATACATATACATGCATACATACATACATACATACATACATGCATACATGCATGCATGCATACATACATACCTATATATATACACATATATATATGGACGGCGTGGAGCCTCATGCGAACCCTGTGTTCCGTTCGCAGGAGGAGGAGGAGGAGGAGGAGGAGGAGGAGGAGGAGGACCATAATTATATATATATATATAAAAAGATCTATATTATATATATTATATATATATATTCTTAATGCATCAACGATGCTTGCTGGCATACACCCTCCCGTCCCAAGTCCCTTCTTGATCTGTCACGACAAGTATAATTGCTAAGGCCTTACGGCCGGTGCCGCCGACCCTAGAGGCCTCGGCCCTCGACGGAAATGTGAGGGAGAGGGCGGGCCATGGGCTTCGGGAGGGTGGTATTCTGACCTGGGGCCCCCCCGGGGACCCCCTTTTGGGACCCCCCTTTCGAATAAACACCGACGTTGCTCAGATTGGTTACCCATCCGCGTCGCGGCCGCTCCCTTCTCCCGAAGGGAGCCGCCCGGGTGCCCCCCCTCCCGGGTATCCAGGTGGGACCCCCCCCCCCCCCCCCTTCGGGGGGAAGGGACAAAAGGGAAGGAGTTTCCTTTCGAGTAAGCTACGACGTTGCTCAGATTGGCTTCCACCCCGTGTCGCGGCCGCTCCCCTCCGCGTCGCGGACGCTCCCCTCCCCCGTAGGGAGCCGCCCGAGTGCCCCCCAGCTCCCCCCGGTTATCCGGGTGGGACCCCCCACCTCCCCCCTCCCCTCCCCTCGGGGGGAAGGGATAAGAGGGAAGGGGCTTCCCTTCGAGTAAGCTACGACGTTGCTCAGATTGGCTTCCACCCCGTGTCGCGGCCGGTACCCTCCGCGTCGCGGCCGCTCCCCTCCCCCGAAGGGAGCCGCCTGGGTGCCCCCCCCCCCACCCCCCTGGGCATCCAGGTGTGACCCCCCCCCCGGAAGGGACAAAAGGGAAGGGGGTTCCCCTCGAGTAAGGCACGACGTTGCTCAGATTGGCTTCCCCCTCGTGTCCGGGGGGGGGCAGATTGGCTTCCCCCCCGGGTCGGGGTCGCGGCCGCTCCCCTCGCCCGGGGAGAGTCGACCACTCCCCCTCTTGGAGCCGACGTGGCGGTGTCGTGGGCAGCTCCCCTCCCCCGAGGGGAGCCGACCACCCCTCTTGGAGCCGACGTGACGATCTCGTGGGCGACGACGACCCACGCAAGGTGACGAGACCAGGATACGTCTTCCGCACGCCGACAGGGTCGGCGGATTTTCAACTGCGGGATGCGCCCCCCTTGAATGACGAGCGCCCGGTGGGCCTGCCACTCTGCAAGACCTCGTCTTGTAAACGATCCACACTCCTCCCTTGCAGCCAAAGAACTGTTCATCGATGGTCCCGTTTCGCCTACCATCCGTGGACGTGCTCTACACCTTGCGGAAGTCACAGGCGAGAGCCCGTATGTGAACAGGAGCTTCCTCCTATCCCTGCGCCGCCCTCTACCATTGCAAGTGTTGCACACTTTGGGACTACGGGTCGTAGAATGTGAGGATGTTGCAGGCGGGATCCGCATGACGAAACTGTACCCGTCTTAATCCTTCTCATTGTTGGGAGCTTTGAAACACGACTGCGCTTTGAAAGCCACCGGTCCTCCATCCTACTAATTGTTGGACGTTGTTGCAACGAATGTGGGCGGCGCTAAGGCGAGAGCCGCTTTTTATACAACCAGCCTCTGTCCCTGTAGCTGATGGAATCTTCCAAAGCTAAGAAGCTGCGCGTGGCGGCTGATCATGATCGCAGTTGTCAAATATCGAAGCGCCCAGCCCAGTCTACGGACACGTCTGGGCAGAAGTGGGGTGGATGGGGTCCAGGAAGAGGAGATGTACGTCGGGGGGATGTGTTCGTGGCAGAGGCTCGTCGTTCCTTATGTGGCGCGCCTCATGATAGCACGAATGACTGCAAGGAAGTTGTGCAGGAGAAGGAGGAAGGCAAGGAGGAGGAGGAGGAGGAGGAGGAGGAGGACGAGGAGGAAGAAGAACATGAGGAGGAGGAGGAACATCAGGAAGAGGAGGAGGAGGTGGTGGTGGGACTGTAAGAGGATTGAGGGGAGGGAGTGGTGGCGAGGAGGAGACAAATGGAGGGAGGGTTGGCGCGCTCGGGGTGGAGTAGAGAGCTCGTCGCGAATGGCGTAAGCGTCCCTTCTGCGGAACGGCAGGTCAAAATGGTGCTGCCGTTGCTGATCCTGATGGCGCTAGGGGCGGTCGCCCACATACAAGGCCGTACTGGTGCGGCCAGGACTATCGTTTTTGTCATCCTCGGAGTAGCTGTGGCCATCCTCCTGGCCTTGATTGGCCTGGGCCTTAGATGCTCGGAAGAGTGCCCTGGCTAGTACGTGTTCTCTGTCGGCTCACTTTCCTTTTGGGACAGGCCTGGCGAGTTCTTGAGCGCAGCGGAGGCACCCGGCCAGGCTAAGCCAACACAAAGTCATTCATGTGAGCGCACGGTGACCCATTGCGAGGCCACAGTCAGACCAGGCGAGGCTCGAGATAGACCAGGCGAGGCTCGGCGAAGGCGCGATGAAGAACGAAGCACGATACATTCCCGCACACGTGCACCGTCTGGGGTGCTGGGGGGAGCTCTTTGATTTACATGGAAGTGGGATGGAGGAAGAGGAGGAGGAGGAGGAGAAGGAGGAGGAGGAGGAAGAGGAGGAGGAAGAGGGGGGGAAGGATATGGACGAGGAGGAAGAGGAGGAGGGGAAGAGAGGGGACGGGGCTGGCGGAGTGCTGCCCTGAACTCCCACCACGCACCGCGCGACCCAGACATGCGCCGTTTGACGTCCCTCCTTCTGAAGGCCTGTGCAACCTTTTCCTCATAATGTTGCTGGCGCGCACTGCCCGCACCTTCGCAATAATATGGGCGATTCGGCCCTCTCCTGCGGCACCCTCGCGGTGCAATTTCGCAGCTTGCAGCCGCACTCGCAGTCCCTCTTTTAGGCGTTCGATCATGGCCCCCTCTAACCGCAACCGTCCAGCTTTCGCGCCGAAGACCATAGGAAAGATCGATGCAAACCGCCGAAGATCGCGGGAAACCGCCGAAGACCGCCAGACGACCGCCGAAAATCGCCGAAGACCGCCCGAGGCAGATGGGTAACGAGGGGTCCATGGTCGAATGCTGAGCCTCCTTCCTCCTCCTGGTTCCTGGTTCCTGGTGGTTTGGAGATCCTGCGGATGTAGCCCTCCCCCATTATCTTACTTCCCCTGCCCCTGCTGCTGCTTCTCCTCCTCCTCCTCCTCAGCTACCATCCTCCTCCCTTACCCCCCTTGCACCCCCTATCCCCTCCTTCATGCACCCCTTTCCCTCCATCCCCAACTTCCCTCCTCTCCCGCCTCCGCATCTCCTCCTTCCTCCTATTCCGCTTCATCCTCTCCTTTCCTCCTCTTCCTCCTCTTCCTCCTCCTCCGCCTCCAGCCCCCCTGGTCCAAGGGTTGTTTCAGGCAGGGGGCGAGGCACACCGCATAGAGTACTTTTTTTAGGGGTGTCCACAGGATTCATGCGCTACGGGTGGATTGCAGCGATGACCTTGCGTACTCTGGGCTTCAATCCGCTAGCAGCCACAGGATTACGCCTGGAGGAGATAGTGGCAGAGACGGGTAATTACGATTTCATCATGCTGGCGGGAAGTCAATGTTCGTGCAGGCAGGCAAAGCAGAAGGTATTTCGTCGTCGTGTCATGGGACGTCTGGTTCTTGAGGCTCCCGCTACGTCAGAGGCCTTCTCGAATCGGAGTTGTGGGTGTTCGATCGTCCTGTTGCCAGGGGTGACGGAAAAGAACAAGTGCGTGTGGCCCAGCCCAGCGGGGGCAGGGGGTAGAGGTATCGCGGCACGACTTAAGACAGGGTGCGTCGACGTCTGCCTCATTTCTTGTTTATTTCCCACTGCAACCTTCTCGTGCTGCTCGAGGAGGTTACCTGCGTGTACTTAAGGGTTTATCGAATTGGCTTGGTGATATTATCTCGACCATTCCCCGTCGGTGCATCCCGTTTATTTTCACGGGCTTGAATGATGGAAAAGGGGAATCGTGGGGACGGGATGGGTGGCACGTACCTGCGTCTCTTGCAGTGGGCTGCCCGACGCGCGAACGTCTGTGTCGAGGGGCAGGTCATCGGTTCCGCGAGCTGTTGGACGCTCACCACATGTTGGCGGGTAGCACGTTCACTGCGAAACCTGTTCCGACCTTGTTTTCGCTTCAGGTGGTTAAGGGACTCGTATCGACTACATCGGGTACTGCAAGGGGCTCACCAATATGGTCACGTGCTGTCGTTCTCTTCTGGGCCTCGCAGCTACACTACAAACGTACAGAGGCCCCGCCCCCAAGGACCACCTCCCTATTCACCTCGAGCTCCCGTGCTGGAAACGGGGTCGACCCTCGGCATCAAGATCCCCAGCTGCTCTGGAACCGTATCGCTATGATGGAAGCGTTGTGGAGGGGAGCGGGCAGGTCGGAGTTCCTTGAGGCTGCTGAGAGGGAACTCCAGGGGCTCCAACTAAGGTTTTTATACCAGAGGGCTTCGCCGGACGAAATATTTGAGTCGCTCGAGGGGGCGGTGGTGCGGGCTGGCCAACAACATTTCGCTGGTCCGTCCCGTGCCCCTCCTCCGCCGTCGCATTCGAAGGATCGCCGTCGACGACGGGAACTTCTTCATTACATATCACACATCAGAGCCCAAACAATCGACGCCTCCCTGGACAAAAAGCCGACCTGATTGATGCCGAACTTAAGGACCTTTCGGCGCGGCTGACCAAGGACCGCCGTGCGCGTGTGCAGGAGCAGCGAAGCCGTCTAGTGGAGGAGGCTACTACGTCGCTCCGTGCTGGACGACACGCAGAGGCCATGCGCGCGAGCCGTGCGGCTGCCCGCTGTCGGTTCGGTCCTGTGCACAGGGGCGACAGGCTTATTCGATCATCCCTTCCTACGTGTGAGGAGTGGCTGTCGGTATGGAGAGGAGAGGGCAAGGTGGGAGGTATGTCGGTGGAGGAGATCAACTGGGACGAATGGAGGGGCCAACGTGAAGTGGAAGGAGGTTATGAGCCCAATATGGACACGGAGGTGGGGGAGTTGGTGGAATCGGATATTCGGGCGATGGGGAGTTATGTTAGACGTGCACCTAAACGTCGTGCAGTACCCAACGGTACCATGCCATTGGAGCTCTGGCACGTGTTGTTCTTCCCAAATTGGCGCAGGCAGGGTAGAGCAGGGATTGGCTACGAGCAGAGCAGTCTGAACGTGCAGACTGTCTGGGATTAGCTGGGGATCGGGATCGGCAAGGTCAGGGCCCATGTCGCATCACCATTGTACTGGCGCAGATCGCAGGGGACAGCTTTGCACAATAATGGTACACACGGCCCGAGAGGCCGTCGAGTCGCGCGCGTTCTCCCAGTGGCGGGGAAGGTTTTTTTCGCGAAGCGAGTCTCGGCGCAGGGCACGATTCAAAATCGCGGATTCGTTGCTGGGCGCCGGCGGCAGAACCCAGTCTTGGCGTGTCAGGTTGTTAGCCACCGTCTGCGGGCCGCTAAGCAGACACACTGCGTAGTCAAAGACATGACCAGTGCGTTCGCTAGCACTACCTGGGACTATGGATATTAGCATGCAAGTACATACCAGGCCTGAGGATACGGAACTATGTCAACACACATTCCGATTATCTACTATAGCTCTGCAGGGGGAGGACAGGGAGATGGTGGTCAGGGCGGGGGAGGGAGGCGTGATGGGCGACCCGTTCGTCGCGCGCACGTTCCTGCAGACTTTCTCTCGGCCTGTCTTGAAGTGGGGGAGGGACCTCGTGGACAGTGACCCGATGGCGGCGGCGCTTAGAGGAGAGTCGGGCCCGCTTCGCGCGGACCTTTCGCTATTGAGGCACGCCGACGATTTGAATGAGATCTGCGTGGCCGAGAGCGGCCTCTCGTGCACAGGTTTTATGCAGAAGCTGTCAAACATTGGCCAGGGGTTGAACGACGCTCTTGAGGAGTATGGCTTGGCACAGAACGCGAGTAAACAGAAAATTGTATATTTCTTCTCTGGATCGGGCGCCCGTGATGTCAACCCCCTTACCAAGCTTGCTAGCTCGTTCGGGCTGGCAGACCGCCCCAACGAGGAGGCGCGGCACCTCAGGCCTTACCTAACGCTTCGAGGGACTGGCCACAACGAAGTCGAGCGAAGGTGCGCTGCCGCCCGCCACGCGTTCTTCTCGCTGGGAGGGGTATGGTCATTGCCGCTGTTCAAACGTTACAAACGCTCACTTCTGGTATGCTTCGTCCAGAACGCTCTCCTGTCTTGCCTGAGGCCCTTCGCCCTGACCCCCAGGGACTTGAACGCCCTGGATTCGTGCTTGGCGGGCCTGGCTAAGATCGCCATGGGAGGGGGCGCTGCGGACGGAGGGGGCGAGCGCGCACGCAGTTTGAGCACAAAAAAAATAACAAAGCACTGGGGGGTGGCGGGGGCCAGGGAGGAGTTGTTCATGCGTCGTCTATGTTTTTCTCAAGGATGGGCCAAGGACCCCAAGGGATCGTCGCAGGTTCTCATATCGCGCTCAATGGAACAATCCTGAACAAGCGTTCCTACGCCCCCACACACAGCACTGACCGCAAGTCTCACATCTGCAACTGAGGGCCCCGGCCCGCCCGCGCCGGCCTTTCAGGCCCCGCCCCCTGGCGGACTCAGGCGCGCCTCGCCTCGCCTCGCCTCGCCTCATATCGCTGGCCGGCACCATGAATATCGACTCGGACAGGCCCCCCACTCGGAATGGCCAATTCAACACTCGCAAGCAGTTGCTTAACCATCTTCGCTTTGGCCACCACAAGAGAATGTTGGCGGCGGTCCTCACGCCCACCAACATTTGCATCTGCTGCAGGCGCACATTCAGGGATCGTTGGCGTGCTGGCCGTCACTTGCTCACCGCTATGCACCGCGGGCGTTGCCCACCCCAGGGAGGACGTGCGCAAACACCTCTTCTCGAACCTCTCAGGTACACGTGTCGTTTGTGCTCGGATGAATTAGGGGATCTTGACTCGCTCTGTAGCCATCTTGTTGCTTAACACTTGCCGGTGATGGTGTCTAGCTCGGCGGCTCTCCAGCACCGCTCGAGTGATGCCCGCCGAGTCGGCGGCCGCTATTCCCCTTCCTCTATGGTACAACGTGGTCTTGAATCCGCACAAGAAGCGTAAAGGAGAGGACGGAGCCGATCGTGCCGATCTAGCGGGCAGCGGAAGAGCAGCGGTATCGGCAGGACCTGCAGGTGGAGAGGCGGAGGCGGTATCGTGCCGGATGGTTCGCTACTTATTGGGATTGCGT